ACCCTGAAACCCTGAAGCCCTAAAGCCTAAGACCCCTATAAAGCCAGAGCCTTGGAAGCCATGAGCCCCTAAAGCCCTACTTAAAGGATCATGGGACTTAGTAAGTAGGGTTATAATTAATTAAGGTAACTGTACTTATACTTACATAGAACCCCGGGCTTATAACCTTACCTACTCAGTCCCCTGATCCTCCAAGTACCCCAACACAAACCCCAAATTGTCGGAAACCCTGAACCCCAAACCCTAAACCCCAAAACCCCCCAAACCCCTAAAACAAACCCCAAAAATGTCGGAACCCTAAACCCTAAACCCCCAACACAAACCCAAAAACTGTCGGAACCCTAAACCCCCAAACCCCCAAAACCCCAAAGCAAACCCACAAAATTGTCGGAACCCTAAACCCTAAACCCCAAAACCTGCAAACCCCCCAACACAATCCCCAAAAAATGTCGGAACTCTAAACCCTAAACCCTAAAACTAAACCCTAAACCCTAGACCCTTAAACTAAACCCTAAACCCTAAACCCAAAAGAAAAGACCCGAGAGGCACCTGGGCGATGCGCTCTGCTCCGCTAGTAGGCGAGGCCAAGGGGACCAGGCTCCTACACTGCTGGGTCTGTAGGGTTTAGGGTTTAGGGTTTAGGGGTTTAGGGTTTAGGGTTCTTGGTCTGGAAATTAAGGTCCTAAACCTAAACCCAAGGTTTAGGGTTTAGGGTTTAGGGTTCTTGGTCTGGAAATTAGGGTCCTAAACCCTAAACCCTAAGGTTGAAGGTTTAGGGTTTAGGGTTTAGGGTTTCGGGGTTAGGGCTTTCGGGGTTTAGGGTTTAGGGCTTTAGGGTTTTAGGGTTTAGAGTTTAGGGTTTAGGGTTTAGGGGAAATTAGGTCTGTGGATTAGGGATTGAATTCAGAGTGTAGGGCTTTAGGGTTGCTGCTTTAGGGCTTTAGGGTTTAGAGTTTAGGGTTTTGGGGTTATTTAGGGTTTAGGATTTAGGGTTTAGGACTTCGGGGAGAAGGTTTAGGGTTTAGGATGTAGGATTTTGAGGAAAAGGTTTAGGGTTTAGGGGTTTAGGGTTTAGGGTTTCAGGGTTTTCGAGCTTCGGGTGAAAATACGGGGTTTAAGGCTTTAGGGCTTGAGTCGTGTAGAAGTAGACGGTTGGTCTTAAAGGACTTCTAATTTGTGAAGGGGTTCCGTAAAGGCTTCCACAAGCATGCTTTAATCACTCGGAATCGGTTTCTACAAGGCTTCTAACATGTTAACAGATTTACCTCAACTACACAGCCCACTGCTTGCAGACTCTGGCGGATTATTGGAAAATGGATTCAGCTGCTGGAGGTTTGGGGATTTCGGGGGTTGGAGTTTAGAGTTCAGAGGGGGTTTAAGGCTTAGCTTTTCGGGTTTAGGGATTCCAGGTTCGGGGTTTTCGAGTTTCGGGTGAAAATATGGGGTTTAAGGCTTTAGGGCTTGAGTCATGTAGAGGTAGACGAGGGCTTACAATGTCAGAGGCTTAAGATTGAGTTGCCCGGAGACCTATGCGAACCCTACACGACCTTAAAGGCCATCACCCCGACAGAGACACATAACCATGGTAAGCATGTTGAACCACGATGTGCCCAAGGACTCCTAAGAAGCCGTGAACAAGAAAATGCACCTTACATAAGTCGTAGCCGGGACCCCTATATCCCTAAACCCTAAACCTGCGCTGTCAGTTTCAAACCTCGGAGCAGCTCAAACGTCTGAACTCGGGGGTGGTCTTGGTTTATTGCCAGGGTTTGGGAAGAAGCTTTGAGGAGTTCCAGGGTGGTATAAACCCTAAACCTAAAAGCGACCCAGGGGTTAAAAGTTTCACAAAGGATCTGGTCTTGGGTTTAGGGCTTAAGGTTTAGGGTTTAGGGTCTGAGGTTTAGGGTTTAGGGCTTGCGGTTTAGGGTTTAGGGCTTGAGGTTTAGGGTTTAGGGTTTGAGGTTTAGGGTTTGAGGTTTAGGGTTTAGGGTTTAGGGTTTGAGGTTTAGGGTTTAGGGTTAGATAGCTATCTATGACTGGATTCCTAACTTCACCCACCAAGCGTCCCGACCCACCGAGTCAACCCAAAACCCTGTATCTAAAGGCTGCATCACGACACAGTTATTTAGGGTTTAGGGTTTAGGGTTTAGGGGGCTTAAATAATTACCAATACTGTTTTAGGGGTTCCTAAAATAAATTTAGTATAAGGGCCCCAAACCCCTATTCTAATTCTTAAGGCCCCTATACTACACGCCTGCGCACCCAAAGCCCGAAAACAATAACCCCAAAATCGCTAACACAAGAAACCGTCAACGGCAATTTACTCATTTAATATACCACGCTGATGCCCAGTTCCTGGTATGGTGAGTTACTGTCCTCTCAACCCAAAACAAGTCTTATGCTGCCCAAAACCCAGTAACCCGATGTCCATATAAACGTGTGTATATAGATTTATGAAGTTATGTATCTACACTAACTTGTTCTTGGCTTACTTCTGAACCCCTCCTAAAAGTTAAACTTTTAGCCTAGATATTATAGTTCATATAGAAACCCCAAAAGCTAAAGTCTAAAGAGCCAACCAGAAGAACGCCAAGTGTGTATACTTATACAAGCAACTGGGCTCTCTGGGCAAGGATTCTTGTCGAGGGGCAAGTTGTTGGACGCAGCAGCCGGAGCCATAACCTCAACGGCCCAGGGCTTACCCTAAGGGTCCATGTACCTAAATAGCATACACTTTGGCCGTAAAGTAGTCCCTAGTTGGCTACTTTGGGGCCAAAGTATCGACTATTTGGGTACATGGACCCTTGGGGTTACTTACTTGAAAGGATCATCGGATCGGCTAGAAATACTGTGCCTACATCTCATGGCTTGCCAGATTTGGACATTGCATGGAGGATCAACGAACACTGTCAACAGACAACCCCTGCTTTGCCGACAACATCAAGCCCATGGGCCTCCATTGGGCTTAGGGTTTAGGGTTTAGGGTTTAGGGTTTAGGGCACTAACACCAATACCAGTACTACTTACAATATTGCACAATATTCATTAAGTGCTGATACCTGTACGAGCTTATGATAATTTGATAGTTTCTACTACTAATATTCGTTTATTACTATACCTTGAAACTCATGGGAACCTACTCTTGTGGATTTGGCAGTTCTATTCCCTACCCTCTCAAAGCTTAGAGCGTAACCGCTAAACTGGGATGCTTCGTCAGGGAACCTGAACCCTAAACCCTAGACCAGCTGAACAAGCTGTTGCATCATGCTCCGGCTTGCTACCCTACCCTACTTGGAGGATCATGAGACTTAGCAAGTAAGGTTATAAGTCCCCTAATTGGGGTTATAAGTATAGTTACCCTAATTCTAACCCTACTTACTAAGTCCCATGATCCTTTAAGTAAGGGTCCATGTACCCAAATAGTAGTCAGATACTTTGGCCCTACAGTAGCCAAATAGGGAGTACTTTAAGGCCAAAGTGAATGCTATTTCGGCACATGGACCCTTACTGAAAGAATCATGGGACTTAGTAAGTAGGGTGATAACTACGGTAACTATACTTATAACCCCAATTAAGGGACTTATAACCCTAAACCCTAAACCCTAAACCCTTAACTACGAAGTCCCATGATCCTCCAAGTAGGGCTAGTTACAACCGCAAAGCCAGGGACCTCAAGCCGAGAGCCCAGTACCTGAGTCAGGAAACTCCTCACCTCAACCCCCCCAAGTGTTCGAACCCGTGTTTGTGTTTTAAGTGTTTGAGCTTTTGGACCCTAAACCCTAAACCCTGAACCCTAAACCCGTATAGTTTACAGCGTTTTTTAGGTGTAATAGCTTTTGAGGTTTAGGGTTTAGGGCTCAATATACCTTACATCGTTTGTTTATAGCTACTTTAGGGTTGAGGGCTCTTTATACCTTACATCGTTCAGAGCAATTTAGGGTTGCAGGGGGTTTTCAGGATAGCATAGCTCCTACACCTTAGAACCCTAAGCTCCCTGATGCCAGCAGCCATAAACTTAAAAGCCCCCAAAACTTGAAAATGGCTCAGGGTTTAGGGTTTAGGGTTTAGGGTTTAGGATTTAGGGGTTCAGGGTTTAGGGGTTTAGGGTTTAGGGCTTAGGGTTTAGGGTTTGGGTAAGATGCTAAGGGTTTCGTGTTGAGGGTTTAGGTAAGGCGCTCTCCAGGACTCTTCCACAGGAAGATCCACCACGATGAAACCTGGGACGGATGCATCCCTAGGGATTCAGAATACCTAGAAGTCAGGATCTTGAGTCTTAGTTTTGGGATAGTGACATTTGGAGAGTGGACATCCTTTCCTACTTTCAACCTTAGGGTCTATTTTTGCTTTCAGATTGTCCGCGTTGGTTTGAGGGGCTCTTGCCTAAGCTCTACCTGTAATCACATCATGTAGGGGCCTACACAAATACCAATACCATTCTGGGGGTCCCGTATTATAATTGCACTATAATGGGCACAAAAACGCTATTGTAATTGGCCCCTAAATTGCCCTGCGAAAGTTGTTGGATCCCCAAGTAGCGTTCGTTTGTCGCAGTTTGCTTCAGAAAGCTGCTGCATCAAAAACAACCGGGACTCATGACGAAGCATCCTGGTACCCTGAGGATCAAGTCGTCCATCTTTATGGCATTTTGGTTCCTACAAAGGACCCATAATCGTCCCAAAACACTCAATGCCAGGATCCATGAGTGAGAGTCGTCAACCCTAAACCCTGAGCCCTAAACTTAAAGCCCCAAGGATCCGGATGTTGTCCTGCCGGATTCCGATGACCGGCACTGGGGATCTGCCGAGACGATCCCGAAGAAACTCCAACAAGTACACCGCTCCGTCGCGCCTCGCCAGCTTATGATGGCCGATTTCCTGAGTGATCCTCCCATGCCTTGTCCTTGAGCTGCGCGGCGGCTGAGGGGCCGATCTGTCGGCGTTTCTTTCTGGCCGTTCTCTCGTACAGCAGCCTGACACGCCTGACAAAGTCCGACCAGCCAGCTGGGTCGCCGTCCCAGGAGCACTGCACCAAAGAAGCGTTAAGATCGTTGTCTATGTTCCCTGTCCACAAAGCAAAAGAGAGCTGCAGCAGTCGCTCCATCCGCTCGAGAAGCCTATGAGCAGACGGCCAGGCTGATCTCACCAACTCATTTGTTGAAGCCATGACCGGGACAGCGTTATCCTCTGCATATCCATAAGCCATGCAAGGTCGCGGGTAGTGAAGTGGCCCTTGGCATACTTCTTCTGCTTCTGATCTGTAAGGGATCGATAGGGGTCTCCTTACAGGGATCGACAAGGGTCTCCTCAAAGGGATCTATCGGGGTCTCCTCGATAGGGGTCTCTTTATTTCTACGATGTAGGTACTTAAGACAAATTCAGGCTTTAAGGGTGCAGGCTTCAGGGTGTGTCACCTGCCTGGTCCGATTGCCCAGGCCAGGCCACCTAAACCCTAAACCCCTAAACTCTGAACCCTAAAGTCTAAACCCCCACACTCTAAACCCTAAACGCTAAACCCTAAACCTCTACAGTCTAAACCCTAAACTCTAAACGCTAAACCCCAACACTCTACGTAAACCCTACACTCTAAACCCTAAACCGTGGCGCCGAGATGCTTGTTACAGCAGGGGTCCCTTCGCAGGGCCCAGTAAATGGACCCTCGGCTTTAGGATCGACTCCTAGGGCTCTTAAAGAAGGAGGGGTTTAGGGGCTCAGGGTTTAGGGGTTTAGGGTTTAGGGTTTAGGGTCCTACCCTAAGGGTCCATGTACCCAAATAGTATATACTTTTGCCCCAAAGTACCCAATAGGGACTACTTCAAGGCCAAAGTATATACTATTTAGGTACATGGACCCTCAGGGTAACATAGAGGCCTTAATAATTAAAATTGGGTGTTGGGCTAAGTTGTAATATACCTCGAATAAGCAACCCCCCCAAAAAAAAGAAATGGCCCTAAATTACCTTCACTCGTAGTAACCCTGAGGGTCCCACCGACCCCACTAACAGGGCACTTGGGTCAGGATCCCAGCTATGCGGTATAGTATCTGGGCGAGCATAAGATTATTAGGTACTTGGACCCTAAACCCTAAACCTTGCAACCCTGATACCCTAAACCCTAAACTCCTAAAC